GTGCGGTCTTTGATCACATTCGGTTCTTGGGCGTGTAAACACTTGCTGAGGTGTGCTGATTCGTTGCCGAATGGTGCTATCTGCTCACGACGCAGGTAACCATCAACAACCTCTGCGGGTAGTTACACATACACACATACACACACGCGCACGCACTCGCGCACTCACACACACCCACACACACACAACCACATACACACATGCATACACGCACCGGCGCGTGCGCGCACACACACACACGCACCGGCGCGCGCGCACACACACACACGCACGCACACGCACACACACACACACACACACACACACACACACACACACACACTCAATGCACTTTGCTTCCAGGAGTCATTAACCAATTGCATCCAAATGAATGCATCCAAATGAATGCACACAAGTCAGAGTACTCTAACTGCGATGAACACAGCGGACTCTGCACATAAACATACCGATACAATTAGCACCGATGTAAGTAGTGATTAGAAACTGCAGCAACTCTGGAATCTCAGCATGCATCTTACCTGTATTATTGCTCTCATTCAAAGACATGAAACTACTCGTATCTCCCCCGCTCTGTAGAAACTCAACCTGAACGAGAAGCAGCAGCAGCAACAGCAGAAGCAACACCGTTACCACCAACACAAGCAGCAGCACCGGCACCAGCAGAAGCAGCAGCACCAGAAGCAGCAGCAGCACCACCACCACCAGCAGCAGCACCAGAAGCAGCAGCAACAGCACCACCAGCAGCAGCAGCACCAGAAGCAGCAGCAACAGCAACAGCACCACCACCAGCAGCAGAATCAGAAGCAGCAGCATCAGCAGCAGCAGCAGCAGCACCACCACCACCAGCAGCCGCAGCACTAGCACCAGAAGCAGCAACAGCAGCAGCAGTACTAGAAGCAGCAGCAGCACCAGAAGCAGCAGCAGCACCAGCAACACCGTTACCACCAACACAAGCAGCAGCACTGCCACCAGCAGAAGCAGTAGCAGCAGCACCACCACCATCACCATCATCACCATCACCAGCAGCAGCAGCAGCAGCAACAGTAGCAGCAGCAGCAGCAACACCACCAGCAGCAGCAGCAACACCACCACTTCCACCATCACCACCACCACCACCAGCACCACCACCACCACCAGCAGCACCACCACCACCAGCAGCAGCAACACCACCACCAGCAGCAACAGCAGCAACAGCAGCAGCAGCAACATCACCACCACCAGCAACAGCAGCAACAGCAGCAGCAGCAACACCACCAGCAGCAGCAGCAACACCAGCAATGGCAACCGTCATCACATGTGCAGAGATGACAGTTGCACCATTCCTATGAAAATCTCAGAAACTCTTTGTTTTATCTGGTTGTGATAAATGGCGATAATTACACCCAAACTAGGTGCCATCATATCAGAGAGAGAGACATGTTCCACTGTTGTCTTGTCACAAACAAAGGCAGCGTTCGGGTGCACAGAGCATCGGCAACGATAGATTTGTGGCCGCATTTTCGCTGCTGTGTGAACTGAAAAAAACTCAAAATTTGAAAAATGAGTGGTGTGGTGTGCCATCAGAGTTGGGCGGGAGATTGGGGGGGGGGGGGGGGGGGGGGGTGAGGCGAACATATTTGAAAGGAGGAAGCGATGACGCACAACTGGTAGCTTGCAGTTGCATGTAGAAAGCCAACTCAATCCCTGACACTAGATTTTTGTGGATGGCACTGATCAGCCTGCCTCTCTACTATTGAATGTAAAAGTATGTAAAGTTCGCACATCCGAGTTAAAACCGACTACACAATCGTGTTGAGAAACACAACCAGCTTAGGAATTTTCGCTTGAGCCAGGCCACCGCCATGCCTGTGATACCACAGTGGCAGATGCAGCGCCTAACGGCGAGGGTGAGGTCGTAACTCTCACAACTAATGCCCGTCAAGGGGGCGCACCTGTTTAGCTCCATCCATGTTACCAAGAGTCAATAACCCCAACAGTGTGCAACTGGGGTCTGGATGCTGTAGGCCCACTGTGCGGCAAAATTCCAACATGACGTCATGCTGCTGAGGCACAGAGGACAAAACTCCGCGTTCCGCGGTGCTTGGAACGAGGGAGTAGTAAAAGCGCAATGAAGTTGTATGTCGTTTTTGACGTGTTGGATTACCGCGGGCGGATCCCTATGATGTACGGGGTTGCACACTTTTGGGGTTATGGACCCTTGATGTTACCCTCACTCCGAGTGCAGTTGTACCCAGTTGACTGTGGTTGCCGCTATAACTCATTGCATGTAAAGTGGTTCACGCAAGCATCGCCGCATTTGCTAGCACAGTACACCCTTCCTGCTCCCAGCGCGGGTCTCGAACTCGGGACCTTGTGATTCGCAGGCAAGCCCACAACCACTCGGCCAAAGTGCTGGTTGGGGGGGGGGGGGGGAGTGCTGGTTGGGGGGGGGGGGAGTGCTGGTTGGGGGGGGGAGTGCTGGTTGGGGGGGGAGTGCTGGTTGGGGGGGGGGGGGAGTGCTGGTTGGGGGGGGGAGTGCTGGTGGGGGGGGGGGAGTGCTGGTTGGGGGGGTGGGAGTGCTGGTTGGGGGGGGGGGGGGGGAGTGCTGGTGGGGGGGGGGGGGGGGGGAGTGCTGGTTGGGGGGGGGGGAGGATCTACTAGCAAAGCCCACTCCAAATCAATCTTTCCACCAGTTGAAACCCATCGCAGAGAGCGGAAAGAAGAGAAATACTGACAAACTGACAAAATTGAGTGAAAGGCACAGCCAATGTTGTTCTTGGTCGTCCGGTCTTCGTGGTCTTGCTTCTTCAAAAGCAGATTCAAGTGTCCCGCAAGCATTTCGGAGTTTGCATGATCGTGAACAATAAAAGCTGAGACCGCAGCGAGCCACAACCCTACAAAGCGCAGCGCGAAAGCTCGTGGCAAGCCGCCATTCCACGGCACCCCGCGGAAATCGCTCGAGCTACGGTTATGGAACCCGGACCTCGCGAATCCTTTTCAGGTTTGTGCAAACAAAATATCTACTACCAGCGGTCGGCGGACATGCATACACTCAAACGTTCAAAGCTCCCTCACCACTTGACAGACCTGCATACACTCAAACGTTCAAAGCTCCCTCACCACTTGACAGACATGCATACACTCAAACGTTCAAAGCTCCCTCACCACTTGACAGACCTGCATACCCACAGTGTATAGCCAAAGGTCCAAAGATCTCAGCTCTCCAATGCAAGAGAGCGTGATGAGCGGATGTTGCGCAAGATTTACAACTAACCTGATGTTTCAAAGTCTGCACAAGGCTTCTCAAGTGTTCATTCTCCTGCTGTTCCATCTTCAACTGCTGCTCGTGAAGCTCTGCAGTAGAGTGCTGTTGCTGGTGCTTGTGCTGTTGCTGCAGTTGCTGGCGTTGTCGGTGCTGTTGTTGCTGGTGCTGTTGTTGCTGGTGCTGTTGTTGGTGGTCGTGCTGCTGTTGGTGCTGTTGCTGTTGGTGCTCAAAGTGTTGTTGCTCCTCTCGTTCCTGTTCACGTTGTGGTTGTGGGTCGTTGTGTGTGCAAGTCATACCTTGATGACCACTACCTGCTCCACTGGCCGATGCAGTCACCGGATGCTCGCACATTGCCTCATGTTGCACCTCATTTCGTTGCTGCAACTGCTGCTGGTCAGTGTGCCGTGGCAGGTCAGTGTGCCGTGGCAGGTCAGTGTGCCGTGGCAGGTCAGTCTGCCGTAGCAGGTCAGTGTGCCGTAGCAGGTCAGTGTGCCGTAGCAGGTCAGTGTGCCGTAGCGGGTCAGCCTGTGGTTGTCGGTCAGAGTGCTGCTGCGGCTCTACTCTTTGTAATGGAAAGTCTGACACTGGACATTCCGCTGCTGCAGTACGAAGATTTCTGTTGTACTCGTGCGATAGGTGATCCCGCAACAGGTCATTAGTGTGTCGTAGTGTGCTCCGCAGCGTGTCATTCTCATTTGCTAGCAGCCGAATACGCTCTAGAACAGTCCCTGCAAGTGCATTGTCTGCAGAAGTAGACGTTTGTGCGGTTGCTGTTTGCATTTTCAAATCTCCATGTAACTGTTTCTCCTGCTTAGAGCACAGTTCTGCTACAGACGTGCGTCGGACTTCTGTTGACTCCTTAGAGCACCGTTCTGCTACAGCCGTGCGGTGGACTTCTGTTGACTCCTTAGAGCACCGTTCTGCTACAGCCGTGCGGTGGACGTCTGTTGACCTTGCAGCACTCATTTCTGTAGTGCGCGTCTGTTCAATCACAGGCATCACAGGCACTCTTGAATTTAGGGACATACTCAGACTACTGGCACTGCTAACTACTTCACTCTCATTGTCCGCTAGTCTAACGTGCAGGCCTGGCCCATCTTGCGAAGTGACAGAGCTTCCGTTCAGCACTACGAAACTCTCTCCGGGATCATTGTCGCCCAGCAGCGCGGCACCAGAACCACTGTCGTCGTTGCCCGAAGCGTTCTCCTCTTCATCATTCGGACAGTTTGTGCAGTGGTCAAATTCACCACGGTCTGGTTGGGTAGCAAGTAATTCATCCATCGCTCGCTGCTCTTTCAAAATAATACCCGTATCAGCTGCTTTCAGTGCTATCGTTGGCCGGCCATTCCTGCCTGGACAATGCAGCTTACACTGTTACAGAGTAGACTCTAGGGCATGGTTGCCAGCTTGTAGATTTCCTCTACAGGAATAACATGCAATGCAGCTGAACTTCTAAACTAAGAGTTACTTTAGTCCACTGGTATTGGCGGAGGCTTGGCTGCCTAATCCCTAACTACAACAACGCCACAGATCGCGCAGGTAGAGTCTGCTAGACACAACAGTCTCTTCACAGACATGCCTTGTCATAGCTCTCCGCTAGCTAGCTCAGTTGAGATAGCGCGACCAGGAAATAATGAAGGAAGACTTCACCAAAATTTTTAATTCGGATCGCGGAGTGTGCTGCGGTACTGACACCTGGACACTGTGTGTAGCCTACAAGTACAAGTACAACTACAAGTACAAGAGGTAGTGAGTGTATTATTTTTTTAGAGGTCGAATGTGACATGTGCATGTGGCAGCCTGCACTGGCAAGGCTGGCCTAGCCTGCCTGGCAGTGACCATGCCCATGCCATGGTGACTAGTCAGTGTCCGCGAGGATTATTTTTCACCGCGGCGCTGCGCGCCTTGGCTTGGGTATTTGAAAAATAATCCCCTCGGAACCGTGCAATATCCATAAATGATGATGTCATGATTTAGCAAGGCCTGCCACTACACTATCATGCACTACTGTAGTGCACTAGTACTGCCTACTGGCGTACTGCCGCTAGTACTGGCAGTCTGGCACTACAGTCCGTTTCAAAAAGATTTACAATCCTGGCGATCGCCCGCGGAGTTTGGCGTCTTACCGTATGAGCACTCGAGCGCTGCCTGGAAAAACTCACTGTGAACTCGAAGAAATATTCCGCGCGAAAGCAGGAAAAATGGCAACTCACTCACGATGACACAGTCATGTACGTCTGGTTTACAACAAACGAGTTCTTCCTCGTATTTAGAAAAGCGATCCTGTCAGCTTTTCTATTATTGTGTTCACATGGCAAGAAAAACGACATCGCTATGCTATGTAAGTTTCTACGTAAGGTGCTCGGTATTTCACTTAGGCTACGTAAGTCTCTACGTAAGGTGCTCGATATTAGATCTACCAACGGGTGGTAGCCGCGTGCTGTGCACGTGCACGGCAGACATTGTGATGCAGTGCAGTCCGTGTTCGGATGTGCATGCGCGAGGAACTTACTTCCTCCTTTGGAATGCTTCTTGTATGAGCTGTTTCGGAAATTTCGTCTCCTGGCCTGGCTTATTTATTTTCGGCGCTGCTGAGACCTCCTTTCGCGGAATATTACTCAATGACAGGTGAGTTGACCAGTTCCCTTTGATTCATTTGCTTGTGTTGACTCTTTCATTTACGAAAAGTGTGCTGATTTTGGGCGGAATGCAATAAATAATGGGAAAGCTGACAGGATCTCGTTTCTAAATTTCGCTTTTCCGCTGCCGAGGCCTCCTTTTACGGAATACTCGATGACAGGTGATCTCTGAGTTGACCGGTTTCCTTCGATTCATTTGCTTATGCTCACCCTTTCATTTACGGAAACGTGTGCCGATTTTATTCGGATTTAGATCCATTTTTATCTCTTTGCCCTTGTCTACAGTGTGCGAAGAACGCGAGTTCACCTTCTTGACGGTAAGGCTTATGTTAGATGTGTTGTCGAAATACTCATATTCATTGTATGTACATTGGTACGTTACAAGTAAGGCACTGGTCAGTGGCATACTATCGTTGGCAGCTCCCAATCTGGAGGGAGAGGTTCAAGGACCCATTGACCGAGTTTGCAAAATATAATTATTCGCATATCAGGGAAAATCTCCATTGTGGAGAGGTTCAGTAAACTTGTTTGCTTCATACGAAACATGCCAATGGGTGCAGTCTCGTCTCGTAAAGATCTCGTATTTGTATGATTGGATTTGTTTACTTGAGTCTGGGCTGTTTTGATTTATTATTTGTGAGTACCGCCGAGATTGCACTGCCCAAAATATACTTTCGAGCCGCCAAAGCAAGAATTACGATCTGCAATCTGTTTGTAGTGCCTGCAAGAATGTGCTGTACATGTATCGTACTTTCTCTCTTGCTGTTTCAGTTGCCGTCATGTTGCTAAAGAAACGTTCAGTAGAGAGGTTCTGCAAAACGAAAATTCGAACAAAGTTTCGCGACAGTCCTTGCGAAAGTGTGTACGAATTTTTGCACAACCTTTGCGTTCTGCACATGTTCGTAGTTTGCGCGGGCCACGTGCACGTACGCCATAACCCGATCTAACGAAAGTGTGTACGACAGTTCATTTCGCGTTCTCTGCAAATTTAGCGTCCAAAGTTGCGAAAGTTCGTGCGAAGTTTCGCACTTCATGACGTAGAACGAAAGTTTGTACGCGTTTTCGTTTTGCAGAACCTCTCTAGTGACTCATTATTTTGTTTCATACGAGACGAGTCAATGAGTGGACCGTATGCGTGTTAAAACAAAATGGCGTCACGATTTATTGAAAGTGGTATAGTTGGTGGAACGAGTGTTCAAACCCATTTGAACTTCATACTGTTCGTCTTCTTTTTGACATGCTCTCTTTCCATCGTCCTTAGCTTTTGTTTGTTGAGAGCTGTTTTGGCTTTCTCCTAAACCTCTGGGGGATGCCAAGTGATGGTTTTGAGAGGCTGGTGATGGCTGTGAGCGAGAGTTTGCCGATCGGCGTCGTCCTCGCTATAGCGATGAAAATACTAGTTACTGCGCACCTGGCACATATCACAACACGTCGGAGCGTCCAGGAGCAAAGGAATCTTGGGTTTTCACTGGAATCTAGTTCCTCCAGCATCGTGTAGCCCACCGTCGGTGAATGGCGGTCCAGAAAGGTCGAACCTGGTCTTCTGCAGCATCTCGCAGTCCTGCGAGGCACACTGAATACGCCTGTCATGTATTCTACAAATAAAAATCACGAAGTTGTGGACTTTACAGTGATGAGTCTATCCTGTATGCTGCAAAAGACGCAGGAAATGTGACTGGTGTCCGTACACTGGACGCCAATATCATCCCAGTCTTCTCCTGCAGGATCTGTTTGACATTGACATACCGGTATGCAGTGGGTCGACATTGGCCTGGTTTGGCAGCTATCTGCCTGGGTGGATGTAGCAGGTTTGCATTGGCGCGTCGTCCAGTCCGACATATTCTTGTAACTGTGGAGTACCGGCAGGGTCTGAGAGGTTGCTCGTGCTGTGAACACATCTCTACTGCCTGTCTCGTCCTGGAAGTGCCGTCTCGCCGCTTCCTTGCTCTACAGTCACGCCGTTATTTCGCTTTGTTTCGTGGTGCAGCTCAAAACCTGCCCAAACAACTGTGAGCTCGCAACATGGTATGGACAAATTGCACCACTCATGCTGGTTAACTAAAACCGGGATAGTCGAGTAAGCGAGTTCACTCCCTGGGCCATGGCAAGATCTGTTCAGCGCGGGCTATTCCAACCTCCAAGTGCATAGTCACCGATCGATCCATGCGATGGTGGTTGACCTACAAAGAGCCAAGGTCTACGAGTACTACTATTGGATGCTGTCTACATGCAGTCAACAAAATCAAAGTACCTCAGTATGCCGCAGAACAGGGCATGTGCATCTATAGCATGACACAACAGGGGTTCTGGCGGCATCTGTCAAACAAGCAGTAGCGACTAGTGCCAGCTACCTATTGGAGGCTAGCCGCTACAGTCTGTCACTGGAGATAATTATTATGTTCACTGTTTAGACTGAGCACAATCAATGATGCCCAATCAATCTGCCCAATGTGTGTTCTGTTCCACCTAATTATAACGTCCCATCGCATCAACCCTACTACACGCACATGTCGTCACTCTAGCACGACTTGTGTTATTATTGTTTATTTTGATTCGCACGATAAATAGAGCACAATAAACGTTAACTTGACCGAAGGTTAAAGGCGACTGCAGATAGAGGAACACATCGAGGTACAGGTGCCGGCATCAATACAGTATCAGAGAGGTACGCAGAAAAAACTCTCGTAAGCCCAAGGGGAAGTGGTTGATGAGGGATGAATGCACTCTCCACGCTCGTCTACACTGTTCGTGGAAATGCACACATACATACAATAATATACAACATAGCAATAGCATGCACAGAACCGAACAATTTCATGTTCACACATGCAAGCACAGACCTGAACATTAGTACCATAAGCCGATACAGACAATATCCCCATACACACAGACGCACACACACACAATGTCCCATGTATGCGCCCGTGGCGAGAAAAGCACGCAGATCTAAAAATGCACTGGATGTGAACCCGCAGATTTTCTCTAATAGCAATGATAGCGAATCTGATTCTGAATGAAACACACACACAATACAATTATTGAATGCCCATCCGCAGATGATGGCAGGTCCTGAAAGAACAGGCAGTGTTCCAGTGATGGGGAACAGAACTTCGAGTGGCGAGTGAGGTATACACACACACGTGCGTGCGCGGGCACACACCAAAAGTATGAAGAAATAGAATCGACATCGTAGTATTCATTGGTTGGGGAATGGAAAGGAAAATAAAACATTGCTGTAGGTTATTGTTGTAAGGACACTGGGAGCACAAAAGAAAGGTAAGCAACTTGCTTTGAAGCAAAGAAAGTTATTATTCCACGGATCTCAGAAGGAAGGAACGTTCCAGAATGCTGCACTGGCAACAGGCGGCCTGCATGTGCGCGGCCCCTGCAGTCGGTCCAGCTGCCGGCCTTGCAGTGCTGAAAAGAATGTGCAGTACAGCATGTCACATAGTATCGCAGCCTGGACAAATAGACGCTGGGAAGTCCTAGTTATGTGCTCACCTACACCACGATGCACCAATCTTCTGAGCTACTTTGGCAACAATTTTGTCCACTTGAGACTCCCATGGGCTGAGCCAGTTGTTGAGGGCTGCATCAAGGTGGACGGCAATGACCGCTGATGGCAAGGCAATCCATGACACACAGTCACTAGGGCATCGTCAACATGGCGCTGAGGCTGGATGAATAAAATCAACCTTTAGGCTGCCGCGGGATTGACAACGAGGCCGCTGTCTCGAAGCTAGTCAGTCGGCCTGGTCACCGCCATTGACGAACCAGTCGCCACCGCCAGCAGTGGCGGTAGGTTGTGACAAGTATGGTGCAATATTGTCAGCAAATTCAGTACTCAGGATAAGATGAGTGACAAAGGGAACGTTGTGTTTGATAATATTGAAGTGAACAGGGATGATCACAAACCCTGCGCGTACTCCACCGTGAGTTACAAGAAAATTCCGGACTGGACGACGAGCAAACACCAACCTGCTACATCCAACCAGGCAGATACTATAACAATAGCTGCCAAACCAGGTCAATGCCGACCTA